CCTTGCCCCTAGAAGTACTCTTTTATGGGGGGGAGGGGGGGGGTACCATCTTGGAACTGGGAAAAACCCCAAATCATGTACTAAAAATCAAACATCTACTATAACATATTTTAATTTCATTAAAAACATTATTTTTGTCCTCATTTGTGTGTGTGTGTGTGCATAGTGTATATAGAGGTGATTGCATAATAGCTCAAAATAGTCTTACGCATGTATATTGCGTGTGGGGTGTGGTCGGGGGATAGCTGTGGTGGGGAGGAGTGTGTGTGAGATCTGTGGGGAAGGTATGCATGTGGGGGGGTTGTGAAAGGATGTGGAGGGGTGTGAGTGGGTGGGTTTTGGGTTTGTGGGGGGGCATAAGTGTGGGAGTGGATGAGGGGGAAGCCACCAAATGGCCCCCCCACCCCATGGAGCACATCCCCCCCACTGGCAGTGGCAGCAGCAGCAGGTGACGAGTCCTCAGGGCACTCATGGCCTGCAGCAGGCAGACCCCCCGGCAGTGTGTGGCTCTGTCCTGCTGGCACACACCTTCCAGCAGAACTGGGCTGATTCCCAGCACTGCAGGTGGGGGCACCACCGAACCAGGCCAGGCCGGCTCCGTGCCTCCATGTGGGGCTTCCAGCACTCCAGTGCGAAGCCAGATGTGAAGTCATGAAGTCCATCCAGCCTGATGGTGCACGACTTCCCACGGCTCCCTGTCTGTGCGCCATCAGGCCAGGCGGACTCTGTGCCTCCATGTGTGGCTCTCCACTACAGTGCTAGAACCCCCACGTGGAGGCAGGGAGCCAGCCCAGCCCAATGGTGAGAGGCTCCCCCCTGCGGTGCCGGGAGCCCAACGTGATGGCACAAGAGCCAGCCCAGTCCAACTCAGAGGTGCACACCAGCAGGCCAGGCGGGCTCTGTGCTGACATGTGCAGTTCTCAGGATTCAGCCAGAGCTGCATGCTGCCAGGGGACTCTGCCTGCTGGAGACCATGAGCACCCTGAGGGCCCGCTACCCGCTGGTACTGCTGCTGCCATTGATGGGGGCTATGCACTATGGAAGGGGGGTAGCATACCCACCCACAAACCACCACCCCCTGCAGGCAGGAGCTCCGCTCCTTATTCATCAGCTGTCCAGTCGCACACCATCATGCTTGGTGCCTCCATGTGGGGCTCCCAGTTGGAATGCGGGGAGCCCCGCAGAGGTAGAAGCACAGAGCCCTCCCAGTCCAATGGCACTCAACCTCTGAAAGCACACCTCACTCCAGTTCCCTGTTGCTGGGAACACACCAAGTTTGTTGCTCTCTGCCATTACCAAGCCCTTTGGATCTCTTGTTACCATCAAAGGGGTTTCCCATTCCCATGCAAGAAGCATGCATTTATAGGCATGACCCCATTTCCTATTACCTGTGCAGCACTGCCCTTATACATGCACCATCCACACTGCCCCATACTCAATGGACTGTTCTGTGTGTCAGACACTTTTGGGTCCAGTGAATTACCTTGATACATTCCAGAGCCATTCGCTTCGCTTCCTGGTTCTCTGTAGATGGCCCCCTTATGCCAGATTGTTCTGTACCACTGAGGGTGAGCCAGCTAACAAAACTCAGAACTGTGGACTCGCCGCTACAAACAAAAGATGCGCACATCAGCCAGAGAAGAAACCACACAAACTAAAAAAAAAAGAAAAAGGATTTACTGGGTCCTACAAAGACTCCAGTGGAGAGTGTGATCCTTCCACATCGCTCACCGGTTAGATGGTGTCTCCTCACGCTGTAAAGAGATTTTGCCATTGGGATCCACAAAGTCTTCAACCTGGAAGACGAAGAGAGTGTATGTCCCACTGTTCACTTCCTTACACATTCATCCTTCTTCACATCTGTCCTACTTTCCCCCTATCCCTATTATACTGCCCCAGAACACCTACTTACCCTCATATATGGTCCTCCTGCCCTCATCCTCCATTCACACCCAATAACTAATATAATAGAAATGGGCCTTCTTTATTTTTGTGCTGCTCATCCAATACTGTCTTCCCCCATGCCTCCCTCATATGCCTTGCATTTTATTTTAGCAGATGTTTGAGTGCTACAATGTATCAAATACAATAAAAATGAATACACCCCCACCACCACCCCTAACAAGCTTCAGGTAGCCAGTGTGCTAAGCCCTGCAAGGACCTGGTGACTATGTCAGAGTACATATACAGCCATTGCTTTGCTAAAAATGCTCCCTTCCTTCCCTTTGAACTGGTACTTCACAAATCTAGCCCCTGCGTGTGTGTCCCGTCCCCTACCCATCTTTAATTAGCCAGAAACTGGCTGTCATTACCTCCACCATGGCCTTGGGCAGCAGCTCTGCTCGGAAAAGCTGCAGCATGGCCTCCATGATGTTTTTCCAGCCTTCCCGCAAAATATCACCGTGGCGGTGAGCCAAGTGAAACACAGTCTTTGCTGCAATGTGGGCCTTGGCATTACTTCCAAAAACAGCGGGTAGATTTTCTATAGACTGCAAGTGAGAAGCAGGGCAGTTAGTCAGCAAGAGACATTATCCTTTCAGTACAGTCCACGAGAAGCTATTTTGGAACTAGCAGAGGACAGTCACTAGCTCTGGGTAAGAGGCTGTGGAGAAGCTACTGCTCCTCAGTTAGCATTCACTTTGGAAGAGTGGGGAGAAGCTGGCTTCTCCAATACTTGCCGATTCCTGATGGAATATTTAGACACACTCTTCGAGAGGTACACACAGTTACAGGGAGAGGCTTGCTGAAGATCTGCTAGTGCTAATAACATGTACTACAGAATCAAAGCTCTTTACAAATACTACATATAACATGAACACTACTCCAGGAGGCAAGAATTCTTACATGGTCCTGTTAGGGAGGAAACTTGAGGTACTGAGAAGTTATGTTTAAAGGTCACAAAGCTCTTCCCACTTCAACAGCAGCAAGGCTGGGAAGAGAACCCATACATCCCAGGCACTAATCACCAGATCCCAGCCTCTTCATAATGGCAATCCATTCAATATAGACAGTGTTTTTCAAGCACAGATGGGATCTCTTACCACACTTTCTAACTGACCACATGCTGCGAAGTGGAGTAGCTGGGAAAACCATTACAGCAGCCATATCAGTTGAGATTT